AAAAAAAAATAACCTGTTTATTAAAGGTAAACTTTTAGTTTGAGTGGGGGTTCAAAAATCAAAAAGAATGCAAAATATTCACATCTATTCAAACAGAAATACTATAGCACAGTGAGTGATTTACGATGACAGCTTATACGCCTCTCAATTTGTGAGCAGTAGGAGGTTGAGGGGGAAGGAAATATTCTAGAGGAGAAAAAGACGGGTTCGCCGCTCCAGAGGCAGATCGTGAACCCGTGAAAACACGGGCAAGCCGCTTTTAGCAAGGAAATGAAGCCCGTAATATAACGGGCTTGACGCCAGGAGGGTTAAAATCTCTGGTAGAAGCTATAAATAAATTATACAGAGTTATTCATAATTCCCTCCGGGGTTTCGAAGCGTTATAGTAAAAAAACGAAGACGAATAGTGCAAAAAAGAACATATGAAATTATTACGAAAGTATTCAAGTTTTAATTTAAGTAGTTGCCGGTAGATGGCAGTAACATGTACCACTGAAGCTAGTTGTAGTAAAGAAAAATGACGTTTACAGACGGAGGGAAATATGAATAACCCTGTATTTGCGATAACAATTTATGTATCAGTTCACTACCACTGGAAAAGATAGTTCACACAAATCTCAAATTTGGACAGTGTATTTTAATGTACCTTTTCAAAGACGTCAACTAGCTCCGGTTTATGAGACATTTTTTTTGAATGTATAAATTAATTAAAATTCTTGGTTTATTAAATCACTGACCGCTTTTGGCAACCAGCTTGGTCACCTTCCAAAAATATCTCGTACAATAAATTTTAATGATAACTAAACTGGATGTACTGCACAACTGTATTTAAATATCCTAATTCATCAACCCCTCCTGCAATGCTAACACCTTAAATAGTTTTAAACAATTATATTAACTAAATTTTTTTTTACCTTGATTTCATTGAAGTCATTTCATGATTTGATTGAAGTACTTTGATTTCAATTTTTTGTCAGGCAGAAATTAAAATATAAAACTCACCTTAAGTATGAGTTCGTGAGATTTCAGCAAAGTAGGCAACAGAAGTATTAATTCCCTCTCTGTCTTGAGATAAGGTGGAAAACTCATCCTAATGCTCTATTACGTGCTGTTCTACTTTCTCAATTACTTTTGAAGCAATTTTCAAGCTTTAATTTGAGTATCGTATAACATACATATGGTTTTTTGCTCGAAAAAGGTTAGCTACGTCATCAACAATTGGTAAGAGAGTATGCGGCACCATGGCCCGTTTATGCTTAAAATTTCTACAGTCATTTCAGAAGGGATCAAAAATCAATCTAAATAATTACTTCGTAAATAAGTTTTTATTTATATAAAAATGCAAAATTATTCTAAATAAATACTTAAAATGTCACTAACTATTAAACAATACTTAAATCTTTACTTAAGACAACTTAACAAAATGAATCTAAATAATTACTTAACAAAAAACTAATTTTTTAACTACTTAAATTGTTACTTAAGACAACATAACAAAATGAATAGTAGCTATAGTGTTGCCAATAGGTAGAGAAATACACGAGTTTATGGTGCCACATAAGAAAAATATGTAAGTAGAATAAAAAAAATGTTTTCATCATCTACTACATAAATAATAATTTCAGAAAATAAGTTGTGAAGCGGTGAGTTCCCGAGAATATAACACCCAACTATCCATACTGCTTGTGATTTAAATAACTTATTAAATAAAAAAAATTATTAAATAACAAAGTACCTTTTAGTTCTTTATTAAAGTACCTTTTAGTTCTAACTGAAATAAAATTCTATGTAACTTGAAACAAGGTATAGAAACGAAAATGTTGACAGCCAAGAATATTTTAATCTTCCTGAAAGCAAACTGTAATGAAATGATTTTACTCTTTTCCGTTTTGAGATATGTACTTTAAGCCTCCTTGTGGAAAATCAATTTGTTTTTAATGTATTATTATTTGTTTCGGAAATATGGTTTGAAATATTACTTTTCGCACCTCTACGTATAAATGTTTCAAAGTTCATATGTAAATCCCCTTTGTTATAGATGAGGCTTTTTGTCGGGAAAATTACTAAAAATTCTAAAAAGCTCCAGCCTTTAATTGCGTGCCATTAGAAAAAAAATTCCACAATTGTTTTTTAATTTTAAGCATAGCTCAATGGAGAAAATGGACATATCATTTGATTGGTTTTTTTTCCCAACTACTGTTATGACTATCTTTTAAAAGAATAACTTGTAAATAATATTTATTTGTAGTGTTTTTAAAAAAAAATCTGCACAAGTGAAGGTAATTATTCTGAGTGTCCCAAGAAAATGCCGACAATTTTTAAAATTAAAGAAAAAAAGGAAAAAGATAGAAATTTTTGTTTTGCTATGTTCCATTTAGGGAACGAGATCGTTATTATATGAAAGTTACATTAATTAATGGCAAAGTTCATCTGCTGATTACGCGTTGAGAAAATAGTTGGTTGTCCTGGTCGTAATATGCTTGTTTAACCCCTTCAGTTACGAAATACACATTAGTGTACTTCACCAAATACAGATTACCTAGAGCTAAAAAAATGAAAATGTGTTGACGAACTTTTTCTCAAGACTGCTTAAAATTTTATAAAGTTAACTTCCAATTTAGTTTTGTAAAAACAGTTTTGAAGTTTCTACTTCAAGATAAACAAAATGCAGAGATGCTGGTTTCATAAATTCAATTTAGCAGATTTTTATCCACCACTATTTCTAAATAATTCGTAGGTTTACATAATTCACCACTTTCTAGTACTTACGACTTGCTGTACCTTTTAAGAAGCAAGCAAAAATAGTCTGATAGTACTTCCAAAATTTACTGTGTAGTTATTTACCGTTTATTTAATTATTATGGCTTGTCCGGAGCAGTTGGGATCTCTGAAAATGTAATTTTTTTGCAAATATTTATACTTCAAAGCATGCATAGTTTTTAAAATTCGGCAACCACTTTAAAACAATATTCAGGCCGTGCTTAGTCAAAATACATTGAGTTAGAATAGGTTAAATTGTTTAGATTTATATCATGCCACTTTCTGGAAACATTTCAAAACCAACAGAAAAGGAACGAGAATACAAAATGTCTGAACTCATTCCAACCAATCAAAAATGTTAGTGAATCTAATAAATATTTGCGTTTAAACTTAAGAGTTCTTAAACTTAAGATGAAATTGCCGCCATTACATTTTTAATGTTATATGGAGAAATGTTTCAGGGACATTGATTATTATGTTGACAACGGATACTTCCGGACGTATCTACATTGTTCTACATACTGTGTAGGGCTAACAGTCGGCTACATTATTGCTTCAAAACCCGAACTTCGCATTCCAAAGGTAAAATTTTTTTTCTTTCACTTTCAAATATTTATATGTTTTTAACGGCAACTGAACAATAGCAGTTTTGTAAATAGAATGATTTGAAGAAAATTGAGTAAGAGATAAGAAACGATATCATGCAATACTTTACAATCATCAAATGCTTGTAAGCCACAATAAGAGGTGTGGGTATTTAACTGCCATTAAACGAAATACAGCCAGCCGTTTTTCAAATGAACATATCAACAGTTGGTACATTTATGTATATAAAACTTGTATTTTATGAAAAATTTGAACATAAAGCTTAGGTGTCGTACTGCCCTAATAATTCGGGATTTTTTCTCGATAATTTAAAAGTGCGAACTGGAATTTTAAGGTGAATTTGCGAAGCTAATCAGGTTGTTTTATGATTTAGATGCACGCGTTCTTCCTTAGCAGTGTTCTCTATGTTTGATTCATATTTTACAGTAAAAGAAAATTTTCTGAGATTAGAAATACTCTTTAAAGTTTTGAGATTTGACTACTTGGAATTCTCACTTCTATATGATACGTGATTGTGGTCATAAATGTATTAAACTAGTGACGTGTCTGTTGTTTTAAGACGTGTTTAGTGACGTGTCTGTTGTTGTCACTTTATAAGACTTATAAGACTTTTGGGAACCCAGGTATAATAAAGAGGCAATGATCGACTTAATGAACTTATTTATTTGTGCTTAACACATTGCACACTGGAGACTTTTCCAAAAAATGTATTACAACTGTTATAGATTTGCATTTCAAAAAAGATTCAGGTAAGTTGTTATAAAAGTTGGAGTAAGCTTGTCTCGATAGCTACAACTAAAATCTGAGTCCATAAATAATCTATATGGTGAAAGTACATTATAAGTTACCTATCCTTATAAAGTCGCCCATCATCCGAAGCTCTATCAAAAGAAACACGGACTAATAGAATCGGATACAATAAGTGAGCATGAAAAAGAAAAGCCCTCAAAAACCACAAAATGTAATTATTTATCAAATGCAAAGTCCATTTGCATCCATAATGCTTCGAATGTTTCCATTAGAAATATAACTGTTAAACTAAATGAATTGTTCATTGATCTGGCCAATAATGCGTAAACGCACCACTTTATGTCTTAAAAATAATATTATTTTTCATGCGCGAAACTTATTTTATGTCTTAACGAATGTATTTTAAACACATTTCAATGAAAATAATACCACATTTTATGAAATTTCTATCCTTGAATTATCTAACATGAGTTAAAGTCTAGATAAATAAGTAATAATAATTGTTATTTTTAGATAATTAATTTATGTGGATGGATTACATCTTTTGTTCTTGCTTTAACTGTTCTATACGGTGTCTATGAATGGAATCAAGGCAAAGTTCCTAGTCTGTTGATATCTACCCTTTACACATGTGCCAACAAGTTAATTTGGTCTCTTGCTCTAGCTTGGGTGACAATTTCGTGCATGACAGGAAATGGAGGTTTGTTAAGCATTATTTGTAAATACTTTGAGTAGTTTAATTTTTCATATGTAATAAAATTCAACACTATTACACAGCTTTTATTAATTGTATTTTCGACCATTTTCGAGCTAGCTGAAATACTTAATTTGCCACGGTGTTACAGTCAATCAAAATTCCATTGACTTTCCGACTAGATAATGCTCAAATTTACAGCTCTGTGTTGAATCACTTAACTCTTTAGTGGGCCATTTATTTCTAGTAATAAATTAAAGTAGGTAAATTAAAGAATTTTTGCTAATGAAATTAGTATAAGAATAGTAATTGATATGAGAAAAGAAAAACTAATTTACCTTATAAAAAATTTATTTAAACAGTAAGACCATTTTTTTGGTTGTAAGTATATTTACCACGACCCATTAGGTACTTTTATTTTGACTCTTATTTTTCTTTATTTATAAAATGAATTGTACAAACTTCAGAAAGAATTATGCATTTTATAACTTTTATACGTTTTCTTATACTTAAAACTGGTTGCCAATTTTATTTAAACGCACTTCAAGGAAGCTGAAGTTATTAACAGATCGAAACCTAAATTAAAAGTGGTAGAAAAGTTAACACGGACTTTAAAAATTAGTGGTAAGTATACTTACCACGCCCTTAGAAAGGGTTAAAAGGTTTCAATCGTTTTCTCATTGCTACGAGTAAGAAATAAACGATATATCTTTTTCTAAAAGGAATTTACCATTAATCAAAATTTTAGCAATTTCTGGCATGCTTATATTTTTGCTGAAAATTTGTGCTTGACGACGATAACAAGCTTTATTTACTTTTCTGGCTGCTATATTGTGTAATAAATGAAAATACTTATTACATATTTTTATAGTCACTATTGAGTTATTTATTTTTAATCAATTGATAAAGAGCTTAAAGGAGGATTTCAAAAACATTTCGGCTGTCAATATAAGCCCCATGACCTCACTAGGCCCCATGACTTCACTCTTTTATGCATGTAATAATTTTCATGATTTGAGGCTACTGTCGATAGAAATTAGCAACTTCTTAAGAATCTTTCTGTATTTTTCAATTGAAAACATAGAACAGCAACTATGCTTAGCATAAAATATGCATAAATTGATACAAGCTAGTTTATTTAAAGTTATGGCATCAAAGGTCTAGATATTTTGAAACATGAGGAGCATCATCAAGACAAAAAATTGAGTTATGTAGTATAAAACATAGATAATAAATGGTGAATAATGTTTATCGCGAAAGAATATTGATGAAAGTAGAAAATTACCCTTATTATTCTCGTAATTATAAACAGAATAAGATAAAATACGCTCACTATAAAATGAAGAAAATTGTGATCACAGGTTACCCATTGGCAAAATGTTTGCTGTCTAATTCTTTTTGGTGAAGAAACTTTATTGTGTTTTCATCTTGGACATCTCTAACTGTTAATCATGAACTTCTCGGTACACAATTTCGCAGACATATTTAAATGCAGCTCAAACTCATTCTGTGTAAATTCTTTTGATGACTGAATAGACATTGAACAGCCAACCGAGATCAATTTTAACATTTTCGGCTTGGTACAATTGTGTTTGATGAAGATTGTAAGCTGTATCATACACCCGTTTCGGATTCATAAGTTCAAACATGAAGTATAATTTGAAAGCTAGGCTCTTTTTCAATTTTATTTGAATAGTGAATGAATCATTTATATTGCGTGGAAGTCAGTCTACGGTCTTGTGCAAGTTATTGGGTACGTTGACAATGGATCTTTTTATCTCTAACTGGTGATCAACTCCCAGTTCTCGTATTTGCATGAAAGGGGTCCGGAGAGTCACCATTCGGTCTTCGGTAGGGTTCAATTCTCTCAACCACTTTAGTACTTTGTGAGGAACGGGCTTCATGCTTGCGTTTGCGAATGGAATCCTTTCGTTTTTCCGTTTGTTTGTAACACTTAAGGAATTCCCGTCTACGCTCTTTTGCATTGGCTTTTTCAGCCTCGGTAAGTTTAGGCCTTGGCATCGCTTTTTTCCTGCTTCAACTCTAATTTTTGGGACCGTGTCAATAAGTTTGGACCCTCTTTATTTGTGATATTCACCTAAATTAGTACCGAAAACGATTCAGTTTGAACCGTAGGTTAAAATTTCTCATTCTTAATTAAAACAATAAAAAGAAGAATATAGTTCAGATGATGAAATTCTCTTTTATTCGCAACTCAAGAAAAATTATTGGGATCTCTCTGGTCCCATATCTCAAAAATAAACTCACCAACTTAATGCATAACAAAATTAAAAGTGAAAAAAAGAATTCTAAAAAAAAACAAACAAAAAAACAAAAAGCATATGGTCGCCATAGCAACGCATGCGCACTGTTTACTATTACTCTTGATTATTGTAGTTGAAAAGGGAGGACGCCATGAAATCCAAACCCATTTTGCTAATGGGTAAAAAAATGCTGGAAAGATGTTTTATATTTTGCTATAATATAAAACAATTGAACATATAAGTAGTAAAGTTATTTTCGACATTAAAAACTCTAGAACTGTTATTGATTCATTGGCGAAAAGTTATAGCTTTTAATTTGAAACATGACCTGATCATTTATACACAAAGTAATCTATGCATTTCAGTTAATCTGTAAGTATTTATAACTATTAATTTTTTTTATCTATACAGGTATCGCGACTAAACTATTGAGCTGGCAAGTATTTGTTCCTTTGGGTCGGTTAACTTATATGACTTACCTAATTCATCCCCTTATACAATTTATATATATTGGTAGTTCAAGAACTTTAATGAGAACTGATCACAGAACTTTGGTACGTATAGAATATGAAACAAATGAAACATATTTCTATTTTTCCCTTTCGAAATGTTATAAAGATTTTATTTTTTGCGTACACATGGTTTAACTAAGGTTTTTCTCTTAACTTTTATTTATCGTTGCAAGAATCAATGCGTAGATTAGATTCATGATGTAGATTTGAGATAAGGATATGAACCTAAAAAAGGAGGAACAGCATAGTGGAAACTTGTAAAAAAAAAGGGGGATTTTTTTAAAGGAATTTTGCAACGATTGTGATAAACTTAAATTAAAAAAATTTTTAGAAATTTTATTGTACTTATTTTTATCGTTAGTTTATCCTGTTAAAAATACAAATATTTGAATGGATAAAAGCATATCTAATATATTGTTTATTTAACATATTTTTTAAATTATCCATGAATTGCTGTACTCATAAGGTGAAAAAATCATTCAATTATGGTTCTATTTTGATTCTTTTACTCATAAGTTGAAAAAAATTAATCAAATTCGATTATATTTGGATTTTTTAAAACTACATGGAACTAGTGAAGGTTTTTTTTTCACGTAAATTTTTTTTTTCAAAGTTAATGTTTTTCTCCCCAAAATAGCGGAGTTTTGAGAAAAATTCAAAAAAATCACAGAAATTAAGTGACATTTTCATGGATTACTCAGAACCAGTCAATCCAATTAAAAATTTTCTTCTTGCTATGAAAGTTATATTTATTGAGAACATGGTGCCAAAATTTAAAGTAAATCAGTTGAAAATGTAAGAGTTAGAGAGACAGCAAATAAGAGAAACATGCTTTCGAAGAAATTTCGGTTAAATTTTTGTGATCCACATAAATATATAAAATTTTGAAACTAACTATAATGCATCAATACCTGATCCATAAGCTGTTTCTTCTTCTTCAGCAATCTTAAGTGATAGTCTAGCCTCTTTTCTTGTCAATCAATCCTCATGTAACATCTCATATGATTTTAGAGTAGCAACCGAAATTCATTTTTATTTTAATGATATTCTTTAGATGATGATCATACATTTATATTTGTAATTCTTCCAAAAGTGTCGATAACCATTTGCAACCTTTATTAAGAATTATTGCAGATAAATTAGTCGCGATTTCTAATTTCTACTATTTATGTTGAGAGTACCATTAATTCTTTTTCTTACGTATTATGAACTAACAATTTCCATGGAAATAGCTAAAATGCTAGTATTTTAATAAAATGTGTTGACAAGAGAGAACAATGCTGTTTACTAAAAGCAACATTGCTAAACAAATTTTTTGTTTGTATGCTTCACCATCCAATTGTGATTTTTTAAAAGCTAAAGCAGAAGCCAGCAGAAAACTCTCTATTTAATTGAATTTTAGTCCCGAAGCTGCTAACTTGAATTGCGGCCGAGGAATTTTTTTTCTTACAGGTAGGAAAATTCATATTTTAAAAGACAAATTTTTATTTTTATATTTTAAAAAAATTGATGCTATGACACCATTTTCACCATGACGAATCATTAATTTAAACATATGTATACAAGATCTAGATAAGATCCATAAATAAGATTAATATAAGATCCGTATATACGATATTGGTAAGATCCGTATGTAAGATCAAGATAAGGTCCGTAGATAAGAGTTATGCTTCAAAGTGCTGGAAAATGTAGCTTTTTCTTTTCTTTTAAAAATAGATTTTTTAATAAAATTTTTTTTTGGAATTTTCTTCCTTTTTTTTAAAATTACTATATAAATTTTTTCTTAACTACAGTACAAGTTAGCAGCTATGTATATGAATTATTACTATACTATGTAGTGTATTACTTCTATGAATCAACCGTATGTAAGATCTAGGTAAGATCCGTATGTAAGAGTCATGCTTCGAAGTGCTGGAAAATGTAGATTTTTCTTTTCTTTTTTTTAAAAAAATTTCATTGTCTCGTTTTCTTGAATTTTTTTCTTTTTCTTCAAAAACTGCTATGTAAAATTTTTCTTAACTACCGCACAAGTTGGCAGCTATGTATAAGTATTATTACTATACTATGTAGTGTATTACTACTATGAGTCTACCGCTTGTAGATCTAGGTAAGATCCGTATGTAAGAGTTATGCTTTTAAGTGCTATAAAATGTACTTTTTTTGTTAAAGAATTTTTTTTACTTTCTCATTTTTTTAGAGTTTTCTTTCTTTTTTTAAAAAAAACTGCGGTGTAAAATTTTTTTTTAACTACCGAACAAGTTGGAAGCTATGTGTATGTATTACTACTATACTATGTAGTGTATTACTACTGTGAGTCAACTTTGAAAAAGTTTTAGAGAATGTGACAAGGCAAAATCAGGCATACAATCAAATATTTATTAGCATATTATAGGTTAGGTAATGCAACAATAATTTATCTTATCTTTTTTGTCTTATATTTACTTAAGTATTAATTTTCTCTTTAAATATAGATTTACATGTATCTGGCTAACGTTGTGTTAGCTTTTATGTGTGCCTATGCATTGAGCCTAGTGTTCGAATCTCCCTTCATGGCTATTGAGAAACTATTATTTACACACAGAAGAAATACAAAATCAGATGACCCAATAGGAACACCACAGGCAATGTCTGAAAAAAATATGGGTACTGCTGACTTTCAACAACGAGAGTCTTTTCCTAAGGAAATAACGGAAACAGAAGCAAGAATCCGTAGATGAAAGAATAGTCTATTTTTATAATGTCATCTGTGGATATATTGAATATTAATTGAAATATCACACTTTTTTTTGTAAAACTTTAGAGTGAATATTTTGTTAAACTTTATTGTGAATATTATGATGAATATCAAATACTTTTTATTGCTTTACATTTATTATCCTATCGAAGAGTTAGGTGAGGGAAAATGAAAGCCTATGGACTAGTAAGTGTAATTTAGAATGGTTCAAGCGCGTGAAGCATGAATTAAAATGTATGTAATCAAGAATGATGCAAATCATTAATATATAAACTTTTGTAAATTAAAAAAAATATTAAAGATTGAGTACATATTTTATTTTTAAAAAGGATTAATTTTATTGCTAATGTTTACTAGTAGTAGTAGTTAGAAAGCTGCAACAGCAGATTCGTCCAACGTATCTGGTAATTTAACAGTTCCCATTTTAAGAGTTGTTCTTCGCGGCAAAGTTTCTTTTACCTGGTATAGTAGTTTAAAATTTTAAGTATAGAAAAAAGTAAGTTCTAGTAAACCTAGAGTAAAGCATGAAGTTTCAAATGATGAAAGTATATTTTCAAAATACCAAAATGCAAACAAACTAGATTACTCAGAATTACGCAGTGGGGAAATAACTCTGATAAAATTTCCTTGCATTTTAACGTTTTTAAAACATTATATATATATATATATATATATATATCTTTTTTTTTCTTTCAGATATGTTATTTTGAAACCATCTGTAAAGGCTATTTATGTTCTTTTACTTCAACACCATCTTGGAATTGGCGATGAGGAAACAGTGTTTTGAAAGCCTCTCAGCTGTTACAAACGCCATCTTAGGTAATTTTATAGACTTAGAATTTTAAAATTTGTAATAAGACTTTACTTTTTCGTGAGTCATTATCTTGCACTAAAATGGATCAGTTATTCCTTAAATTAACTACCCTGGTCCTTCCTGTTTTATTTTGCTTAGTTTGTATTCTGAACTCTAATACATTTACAGCATTGTATGTTTCAAAGTTCAAAAGTTAGCCGCTCTTAAGGTTTTGTAATGTTTTTCATGGCATCTTTTCTCAACCATGGCATCTTCTTCTAGTTATCAGGGTTTGTTGATTTAAATCAGCTTGATTTATTACATGATTTAAATCAAATGATTTTTT